CCTCTCTCTCTCTCTCTCTCTCTCTCTCTCTCTCTCTCTCTCTCTCTCCATGGACATCAGTCATGTACTCCGACGCCGGGTTAGCGATGGTGGGAAGAGAATTCCACCTCCCCGCCTTTGTTCTTCCCATCTCTCTTTCTTGCATCTTGCAATAACAGTTGCTGAACCTCCACGCCAGTTGTATACACCGTAGCGAACCATTCGTGATGTAATCAGACATGCAACGCGTCCACGTGCGGAAAACAAGTCCAAAATGGAAATCACTTCAGCTTCGACAGCACCTGTGGTTCCACCTTTCCAAGGAGTGGCTACATGATCCTACATCCAGTGGGTACATTAGTCTATGCCTTTTTTTTTTCCCTTTCTTTTTCATTTCTTTCTTTTTCTTTTCTTTCAGATTCAGTATGTAAAAATTGTGTGTTGAACTGTGTTCCAGCATATAAGCAGAATTTATAACTGTCATTTTATAAATTTCACCAGTAGAATTACTGTCGCCGGTTACTTAGAGGACTTCCATTCAGACTTCAAAGCTATTGCCACTCCTCCTTTTCAGGTGACTACGCTGCATGAACCCGCCTACATGAAAATTATCACAGCTAGAGTTAACTGCCCTCGTTTCCGGAGAGCGGGGGGTGATGGCCAAAGAGCGTTTTCCTTCGGCCTGGACGCCTCACTGCATTCAGCCAGCTGGCCAGCCAGCCAGGAGCAGGCAGCGGCGGCGGCGGTGGAAGACGAGTGTGAAACCAAGTTCTCAAACTTATCCTGATGTTGTCCACACCCCTTGTCCTCCTCGTCTTCCACATTTTCCCCTACTCCTCCGTCCAACTCTTTTTTCTCCTCTATCCTTGTCGTCTTGTTCATGATTCAGGTGCCTTTCTTCACATTCATTTTCCCCTACTCATCAGTCCAACTCTTTTTTCTCCTCTATCTACTTGTTGTTGTCTTCATTTTTTTATTTTTTTTCCCATCATCACCTCCCTCCTTCCATGTTGATTTCTCAAAGTGTTGCAGCGTCGTCCTTCTCACTATTCTCCTCCTTATCTTCTTTTCTTCAAAGCTGGATGGGTTAAGATGACAAGTTTCGATCAACGATCAACGGCTCACGACCGGTTGCGACTGAGGGCCTCGCTGCACTAGTCTCGAAATGTGCAAAACGAGAGTGAATCTTCCGCTAGAATTCGGAAAGATACACCGCCAAAATTTTTGTCTTTTGTGCATGTCGAGAGTAGTGCAGCGAGGCCCTGAGCTGATGACAGTGAGCGCCGTTATTGCCTGAGCAGGCACTCTGCCCACAAACATGCATGTACTACTACCGACGTATTTCGGGGGCCAATTTTTTCCCAGGAGAGTGATGAAATGTTGGACTCTTCCTGCTTCTCCTCCTCACGAGGACTCGTGCGGAATCAATTGCGACGATCGGAGATGATATCTCGCTCTTTGCGTCCATCACCTACTCCTTGCGAGAAGGATGAAAATTGATTGGATTAGGTCAATTGGATCTGTACGGTTCAATCTGGTTGATTGGATTTGTATAGTTCGATTTGGTTGATTGGCAAGCGGACGCCGTCCGGGCGGTTCCGCACGTGCGGCAGACCGCCGGACCGGACCCGTGCGGCGCATGAATGTGCGCCCGATGACCAGTTACGCCCCCCCCCCCAAAAAAAAAAAAAAAACCCGGCCCCGTCCGGTCCGGGGGGAGGGTGCCGCACGAGGCAAAGCGGACCGGACCGAACGCTCGTCCGGTCCGTCTGCTTGCAAGTATGATTTGTATGGTTCAATTTGATTGATTGGATTTGTACGGTTCGATTCGTTTGATTCGATTTGGGACGACTGGATCCAATTTACTGGATTAGGGTCATTGGATTGGGTCGATTGGGATTGGGGTGATTAGATTTGGACGATTGGGCTCGGTTGATTGGATATGGATAATGAGATTCAATTGATTGGACTTGGTTGATTGAATCTGGATGATTGAATCTGGACCCCGTTGATTGATTTGGGGAGGGACTGCGAAACAAAGACAGACACAGAAAAACATGTGAAGCAGAAGGAAGCAATGAATTCTGTTCGCGATCTATACAGATTGCCAAGGTTCAGAGCGGTGCGAAGCCTACCGTCTTCCGCCCGAGCGAAATGCACCCCGACTGTGAATGCACACAAGCTATCTTTCTGGTTCGATACGGTTATGATGAGGCCCATCACGAGGGTACCTTCTCACAATCAGAGATTGAGCACACTGGAGAGAATCCAATTATATAGCCTATGCATTGGTAGTCCTAAGTTTTCCTCGCAAAGATAATAATGTAATTATTGGGGGACGCCACATGAGCAGGCCGCAGCGATAGAAATTCTGGGATCCCGACTAGCCTGGCCGCCTCCATTTATGCCTGCTCCATGTCTTTGCTTCCCCCATTCCACCCACCCTACCTACCTGTCTCTCTCCCCCATGTCTTTGCCTCCTTCACTTTTGGCTGCCCATCCTTATAATCTCTCTGTCCATCATCTGCACCGGTCCCCTCTCTCTCTCTCTCTCTCTCTCTCTCTCTCCACATACACATACACGCACAGTCAGATTGCAGACTTAGGAAAACAAAAACTCCAGATTTTAGTGGGTACAGGCGGCCACAAAAAGCCGCGATAACCAAAAAAAACAAAAAAAAGAAAAGCCCTGACTTCGTAACCCGCCCAGGTACTCCCCCCGGGCAGTGCCGCCTGCGTCACCTGGCCAGGCGGGTTTTGCCCAGCGAACCTGGTAGCACAGTAAGTGATTAAAAAAAAATAAAAATCATCAGTGATGAAGATGGGATATCCCAACACGTCGAATGGATTTCCGGAATGCATGAACAATAGATGTCAGCAAGCCAATGGCTGTGCTGTGACTGTGAGGAATGATGCAATAAACTAGCACAATCTGAAAAAGGTGTCCTTGTTCTTCCTTCTTTCTGCCCTCAACCCTAAACCCTTATCAACTACCTTCTTCCCCCGAATACAACGTACGGTCATTATAGCTGTATTTGAGGCATCTTTCTCTCTAGATACAGCCATAACGACCGTACGTTGTATTTGGGGGAAGAAGGTAGTCTTCCCAGTCTCTTTCCAGTTCTGGGAAATTTGTTCTGATGGAGATCAAAACATTCGATGGCAAACTTCAAGCCAAAAGACAGCAGGAATCAGTCAAGAGTCTCAAGACTCAAAAACTAGAAAGAGTCGAGACTCATTGCGCTGTTGGATGGCGTCAACTTCTATACTGGGCAATCACCTGACCAAACAAACGAACAGAAAAAAAAAAACACAAACACACACACACACAAAAAAAAAAAGGTAAAAGACAAAGCATGGTGCCAAAGCTTAAAAAATAACTAGGGCAGAAAAAGACATGATGATGACCTGAAGAAACCTGAGACTGATGGTTAAAATAAGGTGGAAGGGGGGGAGGGAGAGGTTCGAGGGGGAAGGGGGGAGGGGGGAGCGGGAGGATGACAAATGCATAACCAGTCAAAATCAGCTGAAAGACAAGGATGTCCCAGCGAAACTTGCGGAGCAATCGGTGGATCCTTCCCCCCACTCTCGAGCCTGCAATGCTTTTTTTCAAGATTAGCCAGGTATCCGCCACCTGCGTCCCTTTCTTCTTCTTCTTCTTCTTCTTCTTCTTCTTCTTCTTCTTCTTCTTCTTCTTTTTTGTCATCATTCCGTAATACCCCTCTGATTTAGGCCATCTCAATTTAGGCCTTTCGATTTAGGTCCTCTCATCAGTCTGCATATAACTCCAGACTTTCCAGCACAAAGTTTTTTTGGACGACACCTGCAGTTAATTGACTTCATCATGACATTGCCCCAGCATCAGAACATCTTTGCCCGCAGTCGAAGGCATCGGCATCTCGACATTGCCTCAACATCACAACATCGAGTTCCTTTCGCGTTGGCATCTCGGTATGATCCATCAATTCTTCTGAATCATTCCTGTGAATCCTTCTTATGCGGCCATGACTTAACATCCACATTAGCTGCTGGGGGCTATACATAGACCCAAAAAAATGCAATCGCTAGGGGCAACAGACGAAAATGCTGCAATGTGCAATGAACCCAGTCCTGTGGGAACGAAGGTAAGACTTGCACCCCGGAAATTGATCGGTAAAAAATAAAAAATCTGATCGTCGTCTTTTGTGACAGTGATCGTCGAGAAAAAGAAGAGTCAAAAGACTCAGAACTCAAAAGTCCTTTAGGGTTTAGCATCCGTCACCTTGCAACTGATGCATGCATGCCGCTTACTCCTTGGGTTTGGCTTCAGGGGCCTTCTCTCCGAGCTTCGCACCATTCTTCATCGATCCTTCAATCTCTTTCAGCTTTTCCGATACAGCTGACCTGGCATAAACAGCTCCAGATTATCAACAAAGGATCAGGGTGGGTGCTTCAGGGTGGGTGCTTACGTCGAAGTTGAAACTGCAGAGCATATGCTCAACAAAGGCAAAGGCAAGTGTTAAAACTTATGGTCCGACGTTGGGCCTCGCCACACCACTGTCGAAACAAAAAAAAGAAAAAAAGAAAAAGTGGGAGTGCATCTCCCCGTAGAGAGTGGCAAGATGCATCCGTTACTACGAATAGGAAGTTAGGAACGGATGCATCTTACGACTTTCTGTGGGAGATGCGCTCTTACTTTTTTTCATTTCGGAAGTCGTGTGGCGAGGCCCTTATTCACCATCCAACACCTTAGGCTACTTGACTTGCTTGGTCGAACAGCCTGGGCAAATCGTGGGGGTCACCTGCACGGGGCACAGCGAGCAGGCAAAAATCAGCCCTTTTTTTTTTTTTTTTTTTTTTTTGGGTGGGGGACTCTTCTGCACACGCCGAGAGGAGCCCAAATCTGGGCTCCTTTCTTTTCTTCGAGTGTTGGCTGTCAAGGGGGAAAAGGAGGGGTATAAATTGGTTCCTAGAGGTCTACAGGTTTTTAAAGGGGACCAACTTTAGCCTGATTCTGTGCTTTTTTTATTTTTTAATTATTATTTTTTTAATCTTCGATTCCGTGAGGAATTCTTTTTTTTTGTTTGTTTTTTTTTGTTTCTCTTCTCTGTATCGTTCCAATTTTAAGTTTTAACTGATGTGACCCTCAGCCAAAAGTCGTTTGGATCGCAAGTCTACACTACATTTTTTTTCTCCTGGAATGTTTTTTTTTTTTTTTTTTTGAACTGGAGCTGCCTGAAACCGGGCCCGGGGTTCATGCCCGGCCGGGCAACAGGCATATACTGAAACCGGGCCCGGGGTTCATGCCCGGCCGGGCAACAGGCATGTATCCGGGAACAAGTTGGGTGCCTGGGCGCCTGGCCAAACGGCCTAGTCAAAAACCCAATTGCAACAAAATGCAAGACTTGCTGACACTCAAAAGAAGAACTGGAGAGAGAGAAAGAGCAGAATAGAGACTGAAAAGAATAAAAGAAGAAGCAGTATCGCACGAGTTGAACCAACGCCAACGGCCATCTGCCTTTCCCTCGCGCCTCTAGGTTCTATCGCCTGTCGGATCCGGGCTGGCTGAGAGAGGTAACCAGGGTCTGTTTTTTTACGGGCAGGATTGGGCCATGTCCACCAGGCTAAGCGGGAGGACAGCAACTTCAAGAAAAGGGAAGGATGTGCGCCAGCCAGCCCCGATTCACCTCGGAATTGCGCACAGTCACCGACAATTTTTTTTTATATATTTTTTTCCGACCCACCGGGAAGCTCACCATTTCAATACCGAGAGTTCACACATTCAGGAAGGAGGAGCTGACTGCTTCATTGTCATATTGTACACGTTTTCCGGTGTTCTGTAGTGGAGGTGGGTAGCGAAGCCAGCGCCTGACTTAGGGCTGGCTGAGAGACGTAACCCGGGTCTGCTTTTGGTTTGTCTTTTGTAGGAGATAACGTAGTCATTAGGAATGAAAAAAAAACAAAAAAACAAAAAGTCGTAAGGCATGATTGAACATGGTATGGCCAGACGGAAGGAAGCGTTGGTGTGTGAATTATTGTATCTTATGACTTGCCAGGCGAAAGGAACCGGACTGACGCTCCCCAGAATGCATATGGCGCCAGGACCATAAGGCCCTGTTTTGTAATTTAAAAAAAAAAAAAAAAAAAAAGAAGTAAGGAATGATTGAACATGGTATGGGCAGGTGGCAGTCAATCCTTCCTTCTCATGTGCATCAGCAATTAATCGTGTCAGGGATGACGCATTTGTGTGGGGACCAACCGGACTGGATACACGACGAAGCATTTGTGTGGAGAGTATACACCTGTTTCAAAAACATTATTTTCGACTTACTAAAAGTAGGAACTGGAGTGACGCTCCCCAAAATAGAAGGAGCTGTTGCTTAAAAAAAAACAAAAAGAAAAAAAGAAGAAAAAAGGAAGTTGTTGAACCAATGTCTTCCCCCTCACTTCTTCCTTCCTCTCCTCTCATCTTCTTCCGCCTTCCTCATCTTCTTCTTCTTCTTCTTCTTCTTTTCCTTTTTTTTTTTTTTTTTTTTTTTTTTTTTCCGCCTTCCTCTTCTTCTTATGGTCAATTAAATACAACAACAAATGAATGAACAAAGAGGAATCCAGTCTGAGTATTCCTCCTTACTCCCAGCACTCGAACGGCCCTCCTTTCCACCACAACCTCACGTCTTCTATCTCAGTTGCAGCTACCATTATGGCGGACAATCTGTGCGCATCATGGATGTTCACATGACAACGCAATCACTACTACGCATCTCCCATCTCATTCCACCATAGCCACACTCTCGGAGGAAGCCCAAGACCAACCGGGTACCCACACAGGGGCCTTCGAGATGCAGTGCCAACCGAAGTGACGGGTGGAGGTCAACCATATCAAGAGGTAGGTCTCTCATGTCAGTTCTCTTCTCTCTCTCCCCTTCTCACACCCTTCTTCATTGCCAGGCATGAGGCGCTTCACCCTCTACCTCCATAGCCTAGGCCTACTCCCTCCCCTATTGCTACTCCTCCATAACCAGGAAGTTCTTCTTCTCATGTCAGTTCCCCTCTCTCTCTCCCCTTCGCACCCCTTCCCACCTAGTACACCCTTCTCTCACCCTTCTTCATTGCCCGGCATGAGGCGCTTCACCCTCTACATCCATAGCCTAGGCCTACTCCCTCCTATTGCTACTCCTCCATAACCGGAGAGGTCTTCTTCTCCACCCTCTGGCTCTACCGCTCAACTTGAGCTCCGCCTACCTTCACCCTCCGGGGGGAGCAGCAGCACGGCTGCCAGGTAAATAAATGTTTCACCTACTTCAGGCCCTGAATCTAGCCTACCTGATACCTAGGTACGGGCTCTGACTACTCGTGACCTTTTGGAAGCTACCCGGTCCTCCTAAGCCTACCGGACCTCTGTTGGGCCCGCCCGAGTTACTCGAAAACCCCAAATAGGTACTGGGCGTGCTGGCCGGATCCTACTTGTGTCCGTGTCCATCCTGGCCTTCTAGAAGTCCGCCCGGTATCCAATTTCAGTCTTGATGCTGCGGTTTACCTATTTCTAATCTACCCCTCCCGGGACACGGCAAAACGCACGGCAAGCACACGGGTAGTACTCCGCATGATATCGTCACACAGGGACTCACACGCATGCAAGCAAACAGCAACTTCACTCAGAACATGGAAAATCTCAGCAATCAGAAAACAGCATAAAGCTCGGACAGACACTGTGCGGGTCATTTCACTCCCACGGACCCAGAAGCGAGGTTCCTTCGAGAATTAGAAAGAACCTAGGGATTTGCACAGAATGCATCGTAGGCACAGAATACGAAAAACACACGCATGCGCTCGCGCGCCCGTACGAGGTGCGGCATCCGCAATTTAGATCGAGAAATCCAGTGAAGATCATCCAGTGGGTGATAAAGATCCACTGTGGTAGTCTGGAGTGGATCTAGAAATCCAGTGAGTGCACCAAGTAGTTGTGCTGTGCACTAAGTAGTCACGCTTTCGTCCCTTACTTCTGTGGTCGCCACCAACCTGATGAGCAATGCAGGTACGCTGTCAGAGAAGAGCTGAATGCAATACCTCCAGACGATAACTTCTTTTTTTGACCAACAAACTCAATGGTAATTATGATTTACGAGTTCATAATGCGGCAAGAAAACATTAAGCCGCATATAACATGTCTGTGAGAACTTAGAGATCAACCTTGGGAGTACTTCAACCACAAATGCCAATGCCCTTCCTCTGAAATTTGCTGCCATGCACAAGGAGGCCATGTGTGGCTGGTATACTACATACAACATGGTTACACGGAACAATTTACAGAGTGCGAGGAGAAGGGTACCGACACTGGTGGTTTACAGCCACGGTCACATCCGCACTGGAATTCTTGTCCAAGGCCCTGACGTCAGTGGTCCGTAAGGGATGAGGTGTTCAGCAAAAGTCAAGTTCCGACTCTGCACTCCATAGCGAGACAGAGAATAGAGATAGAGAACGCACCTGTGGCCTGACGACAGTGCCTGTTCCTCCTCTAGCCATGTCCTTATGTGCTTAAGGTTGCGGCGAAGAATCTGAGTCGTCTGTTTGACATCTCCACGAAGCATCATAGCTACGGCACCAACACCGACGAGTGTAAGCAGGAAATTTGTCAACGCCATCCTCTCCTGCTGCCGCTGCCGCTGCCGCTGCTGCTGCCGCTGCCGCTGCCGCTACTGCTGGTGCTGGTGCTTCTGTTGCTTCTGCAGAACAACAAAAGACTTGACCAAATCAGGAAATGGTCTCCTCAGCTGCAGCATCACAAAAAAAAACAACTATTTAAAGCTCAGTTTTTCAGTTTTTAATAGGAGAACTTCCTCCCTGAATGGACAGCGCCCTGCGCGTTGAGCATCAGACATTCACTACAAATTGTCGGAGAAGCGCTTTACTAAAATTGGAGTGTCCGTCATTGGACTGACTGTTGACAGATCAGACCCTCGCCCGCAAACAAAAGTGTGACTTAGAGAGAACAGAAGCCGGGCACCTCCAGCAGATGAGAAGCGCATACTTGTCACATGCACCCTTGATTGAATCCCTGGTTCAATTGACGCCTCTGCGCCGTTGATTTACGCTGATACCCATCGATTCCATCAATCACTTGCGCATCAAATCAGCCTCTGCGGAGCTCCTTCAGCTGGAGCAGAACCTCTCTGCCCCATCACTCCTTCAGCTGGAGCACAACGTCAACGTCTCTGCCCCATCACTCATCCACCTGTGAAGCATGACCCCCAGGGTCAACGCTCTGCATTTCACATTTCCTAGTACCTCGGCTGAGTCAGCAGCCAGGCCGCATACTACCAAAAGACATTAGTAAGTAGAATAAATACCACTGTTTAATTCATCCAGAGTCACAAAATCTCCGTACGCAAACAAGGCTTCCAAAACCATCTGTATCCGCCCGGCACCACCTCGAGGTGGAGCGTTTCCCATCATATCTCCGGTCACTTATAACTCCAGCGAGATATGCCAAAAGACAGTCAGCAGCTCAAATCGATGACCACCTGAAAGCAACTGACCCCTGCTCATTAGCCTCAAGGTTAAGTCTTGACTCTTGAGTGTTTCAAATTTCCTAGTACCTCAGCTCTGGCCCAATGCTAAGCAGTGTACTTCCAAAAGATGAAAATCAGTGAACCGCCACAAGACATGGATTCTGCACCCCATCGGTCGTCACCTGCGTTCTCTTGCTTCCCTTTCCCTTGTTTGGCCATGTACATCCTTTGCAGAAATGTCTTAACCGGTCGATTCCCCATTTAGCAGGTAATTCAACTGCCTGGTTCACAGGCTGGTACACTGTCTGGTTTACTCACTGGGCCTAGGTGCAAAAGTTTGCAAGAAGCTGTAACCATGGTTAGAAGCAGGTAATTCACCTGCCTGGTTCACAGGCTGGCTCACAGGCTGGTTCACAGGCTGGTACAGCATCGAAGTGGCGTATGAAATCATCACAAACTATCAACTTCTGAATAAGAATATCTTAGGCAAGAGGAGGAGAAATAAATCATATCAGTGCAGCCAGGGTTGGACAGGAACATGAAGGAAGGAAACCCACCCAGAAAGTGAGACGAAATCAAAAGGAAGGTAAACTACACACACACACACACACACACACACAGAGAGAGAGAGAGAGAGAGA